GGTTTAGGGTTTAAGGTTTAGGCTACTTCGTTTTTGCCGTTTCCCACCCTGCCCCAACCAACTCCTGCATTTAGGCTAAGTTTAGCACTAGTGTCTGACACTACTTCGTTTTTGTGCTTCAAGGGGGGAATTGAACCAGCGCAAGTCAGAATGTGAAGCGGGCGCGATACCCCTGAGCTACGCAGGCATTGCCAAACTTAACTGTTCATTGTCACAAGTGCATTGGCTGGACCCCAAACCCCACACCTCTGCCTGCCCCGCTTCCGCGCTGCTTAGCCGTGCGCAACCCAGGATGTTAGAGTTAGTGTCTGACACTAATTGGTTTTGGCCCCAAGCAGGGATTGAACCAGTGCAAGTCTTGCATGGGCCAAAGAGAGCTGCTCATCCTCATACATGCATTGGCCACCAACCGCCAAAATGAGAACCCTGTCCCCTTCAGGTTCTTATTTCCAGTGTTTTCATATCAGGCCAAGCCGCAACGAAACCACTTCCACCCAACAAAAAACAAGAACCTGATCCCGAAAGCTAGGGAACTTAAGGTTCATAAATTTTGAAGCAGCCTGAATTTCGTGAGTCCTGCAGGGGGGTCCGGGCTATGGTTCTTAAGCAGTGGGTTCTTATACAGGACGTTCACTGTAATTGGTATTGTTTGCACCTGTGTTCGGGTTATGGTTTCCTTTGTGGGGCCCGTCCATACGCACACTTTTGTATACTTTCCGCCAGGGAGAGTAGGGAAGCGATCACCTTTTGAAAGACGGTGGACGGCTGGTCCTTTTTGTGTTGTTTCAGAGTTTGAGTGTGCGTCTCAGGGCACAGTTGACAACTCGACTGCGAAGAAGAGATATGGGGGTTTCCGAAAATAGGGGACCCTAATATAGTAGGATCCTTATTATAAGGACCCCAAAATATGGTACCCCTAATTTTCTGAAACTCCCATATCCATTATCAGGGATTCGGATTTGCTTTTAGGGTGAGTGAGACAGACTTGTTGTTTTCGGATGAGTTGCTTTGTTGAAGACATGTGGGGTCTTCAAGCTAACAGAGCTCTCGAGTTTGATGAGGGGTTAGTTAGGTCTCGTAGGTGTCAGGGCTGAATGGAGCTCAGCACTGGGCCTTTTGGTGTTGAGGAAATTAGGGTTTAGGGTTACGTCCCTCGGGGATCATTGTTGGCGGATTTTATGTTGTCTGCCTGGGCTGGACCTTACCGTGGGGTTCAGGGTCCAGGGGTCAAAACATGTAGTTACCGTTCTGGCCCTTACAGTAGTCCTATGTAATTAGCTTTGCACTCGTAGTAACCCCACAATACCTCCACTAGGGGTTTAGGGTCCCGAAGATTCAGGGTATCTAGGATTCAGGGTTTAAATCTTTGGCTCATGGTTAAAATTTGTTTTCGTTGAGCACTTCATCTGCAATATCCGCACAGCGTGTGTTCCGCTTCTGAGCTGCCAGGTGTTGCAGCATGCACTGACGCTGCCTTCAAGTTGCCGCTGGGCTCTGCCGGATTGTGCGAGCTGGTGTTATTTCGGCTCAGGGGTTTCGGGGTTTAGGGTGTAGGGTTTAGGCTTTAGGGTTTAGGGGACTTCAGCTGCTACATCCCAGCCCTCTTTGTTAGTATGTACGCAGGCTCTGAACCACGAGCCGCTTCTCTCGCGGGCATTCCGCTTTGGTACAGTGGCCAAGTCCCCAAACTCAAATCCCTAAAGGCCCCTTAAACATGAAAAAGGGCTTTCAACAAAACAAGGGTCCCTTATAATCCCTAAATCCACAAACGCCCAGAAGCCCTAGCTTTCTGGTTGTTTTGTGCTGTCGTTGTTGAATCCTGCTCAAAGGGTCATGGGAAATAGTAAGTAGGGTTATAAGTAAGGTAACTATACTTATAACCCCAATTAGGGGACTTATAACCTTACTTACTAAGTCCCATGATCCTCCAAGTGACCCCTGACTCCGACAGTCCGAGCCTGAAAGCAGGCGCGGAAAGAGTTACAGGCAAGTACCCCCGCAGCTATGCCCTAAGCACCCCAAACCCTACGCCCTAAACCCTACAACCCTACAGCCCCAAACCCTAAACCGGCTTCGGGTGTAGGGTCTAGGGTGAGGGTTTGGGGTTTAGGGTTCAGGGTTTAGGATTTGTGTTTTATGGCTTCGGGTTTAGGGTTTGGGGTTTAGGGTTTGGGGTGTGGGGTTCAGGGCGTTTTGGGTTTCGGGGCTCGCCTCAGTCAGGGATCGCAACAGGATTTACGGCAAGCTGCCTTTAGGTCTTGGTGGACTTTTCTTTTGGGCGGGTGGGCGGCTGGGGCGTGTCTGTCATAAGGTGTTCTGGGCACGTGAGAGGGGGAAAGGGTTTCGGAAGTGAGTTTGTCGCCACATTGGGAGTTCAGGGTTGAAGCCCTAAGTGTACGTTTCGGGATCCTAAAGCCTATAAACCCTAAACCCTAAACCCTAACCTCCCCCCAACGAAACAGTACTTTGGGTTTTCTTTTCAATAGTTGAAGTTTTTGACTCAGGTATAACGACCTGCTCTCCACAACTGCAGACAGCTGGAAAGCAGTGTTCGACAAGGGCTTGACAGGCGAGTTGGACAGAGCTGGGGCCCCGAAATCCCCAACATGTCGGAACCCTACGGCAACCGTACACCCTTCCCTTTCACAGGGCAGCAGTACTAGGGTTGTGCTCCTGGGCATATAATTAGGTTTCAGACTTATCGGCGCTGTTCAAAACTTCCGGAATTTCGGACCTCGACGTCGAATCCTAAATCTTGACACGAAAATCCCAAAAGGCCAAACCCAAAAACCCATGAAGAAGCCCTAAACCCCAGCACGTCCAAGAAGGTTTAACTTTACAGTCTGCGCCCTAGATGCCCGACACCTCTAGAGTAACCCTGAAACCCAAAACCTTGAGCCCAGCGGTTCTGATCTTGCGCTCCCAGAAAGGCTCCTAAACCTGAAACCCTGAGCCCCCAGTGGTTTCGGGCCTTACGGTTTAGGCTTTGGGGTTAGGGCTGTCGGGGTTCTCGGGGTTTCGGGTCGGGTCAAGCTCAGTCAGGTCTACGATTCAGGGTGCAGCCGTGCAGTTCTCCGTCACTATGTGGGGGATTCCGAAAATAGGGGACCCAAATATAGGATCCCCAATAGTAGGATCCTTATTATAAGGACCCCCAGAATAATGTACCCCTAATATTCGGAAAGCCCCA